GATGATGATGAGGAAGAGAATGAGGAGGATGAGGAGGATGAGGAGGACGAGGGCGAGGAGGAGGAGGAGGAGAATGAGGAAGAGGAGGAGGAGGAGGAGGACGAGAGTGTGGGGGTCGAGGGAGGAGGAGGAGGAGGACTACGATGACAAGGGGGAGCAGGATCGGAGGAGAACAGCGGCGGCGGCAGTTACGACGGCGGCGGCGGCGACGATGACCAGCGGCTGTCGGCCATGAATCTTCGTGTGCTCCGCCTCGCAGCCGTTTGTGCTCGCAGCTTTGCCCTTGCCCCAAGGCCCAAGGGCCGACGTTTTGTTCTCGGGGGCAGGAACGCTGATCAAGCCAGACAGGAACGGTCTACCTAAGTTTTTTTTGTACAAGAGTACGGGGAGAATTGCCCTGACCAGGGTTGGTCAGAGGGGTTGGTCGGGAGGGGTTGGCCAGAGGGGGTTGTCAGAGCGTTAGCTGGTGTTGAGGGGTTGGTCAGAGGGGGTTGTTGCGGGGCTGCCCAGGGTAATTCTAGACGCTTCGCACATCCCCACCAGTCGCGTTTGCTTGTGATTTTAGTTCATTTTGTTCTGTGCATGTGCAACTGCGCTCTTGCTTAGCAGGTGCGAACTGGCTTGCCTACAGTGGCGGCTGTGTTTTCAAATTCGCACCGTGCCGCATCCCGGACGCCGCTTCCGCTCCTTGACCGTTGCCTTGGAGCCGCCGACCAAAACATATCCCCACCAGCCCGTCCAGAAACGATGTCCAGGCGTGTTGAGGTGATCAGGGAAGTGCGGGAGCAAAGAGGGGGACGGCCAAACCGTGCGAAGGAGGGAGGAGGAGAAGGAGGAGGCTGGATGGATGGATGAGGGAGTGGGGAGACGGAGGATGAGGATAGGATGGAGGAGGAGGAGGAGGAGGAGGAGGAGGAGGAGGAGGGCAAGCAAAAGGGCCAGAGGTCCCTTGGATGCCTCTCGGAGCCTCTTGGGGCATCTCTTGTGCGTTTCTTTGTGGCCTCTTGGGCCGTCTTGGGGGTCTCTTGGCGGTCCTGGGGGGCTCGTGGGCGTCTTGGGTGCCTCGGGGGGGGCCTCTTGGGGACGCTTGGGGTCCTCTTGGGGGCCTCCTGGGGACCTCTTGGGGGCCTCTTGGGGCCATCTTGGGGCCATCTTTGGAACGCTTTGGGCCTCCTTGGCGCTTCTCGGCGCCATCTTGGAGGAGATCGATCAAAGAAGAGGGGAGCTCCTTTTAGCGCTGCCCCCCAAGAGGCCAACATGGGGCCCAAACCCTAGCTAAACCAATGATTTTGGCCTCCTTGCTGAGGCCGTTTTGGACGCCCTGACCGCTCGCGACTGGCCCCGTCCAGGTCCAGGGGAGGGGGTAGGGGGGAGGGGTAAACCCCTCCCCGAAGATGAAGAACGGGGGTGGAAGCGGAAACTCCCTGAACCATCTACGCCCAGAAGGCTGGTGGGATTCTCTTCGATTGGTAGTGCTCTCCAGGGCAGGGTCGGAACTTGTGCCTCCAAGGGGCACCCTTGGGAAGCCTCGATCGGGCCTTCCTGTGTGGCTTGGTCGGGCGTTGCCCTGCTCCTCCGATCCCCTCTCGGGCCGCGGGCGCTGCCGGCCATGCCCGTTCCCTCCGCGCCTCTCTTGCGGTACGTTCGGCGGGCTCGCGCGCAGTCTCCCGAGGCGTAACTGCAGCACAAGTATCCTCCTCCTCCTCCTCCTCCTCCTCCTCCTCCTCCTCTTCCTCCTACCCCTCCTCCCCGTTGCCCTCGCCGTGCTTTGCATCACCTCCTGTCTCTCCACTCTCTCCTCCTCCTCCTCCTTCTCTACGTCGTCTCCCCTCTCCCCCGCTCCCTCCAGCGTGCCTTCCCTGCTCCTGTCGCGCCTCATCCTGGGATGCGCTCTGATATAGCCCAGTCAGGAATGCAATGACCAAGGGCACTGGGCGCGTGCAGCAGCGCACCAGCACAGCTCCTGTGATCGGGTGCAGCTCGGAGTAGGGGAGGCAGGACTGAAAGGAGAGCAAGGAGTAAGGATGAGGAAGCCAGTGGGAGGAGGGAGGAGGTTGAGTTGAGGAGGAGGGAGGAGGGAGGCGGGAGGAAGGAGGAGGAAGCCAGTGGGAGGAGGAGGGAGCAGGCAGGAGCAATGAAGCGGACCTGTATCCAAGCTAGCTGGGCCAGGCGGCGCAGCGCGCACACAGTGCGCTGAGCATTTCAGCACGCACCGCAACATCGCTCAGGTGGCGCCATCCACGCTGTGGAGCGGCGCCAGCTCAACCAGCCTGGCGGGGGGCTGGTGGGCTCCACGCAGCTCTCCCCTGCTGCTTCGCCGCATCTGACTTCGGCCCAGCCTGTTCGAGATGGCGCTCTGCATTTTCTGCCCTGTCTGAGCTGTTGGCCTCTACCGCGGCGGATGGTTGGCAGTTGCGAGCAGGCCGCCTCACCAGTAGTCGGCGTCACCCCAACATACTCATACTATGTGTGCGCCGCCCCGAGAAATCTTATAGTATAT